CATCCATCCATCCATCCATCCATCCATCCATCCATCCATCCATCCATCCATCCATTTTTCCTCAGCTCTCACCTGGAGGGATAACCTCAGCAAGAACATTAATCTAACGTACTGAAGGACTTCTTCCACCTGCTACAGACTGTGTTTTGCCCTGTGCCAATACGTTTGTGTCTGCTGACCAACCAGCAGATAACAAAGGATAACAAAGAAGTTTCACTGAAAAATGAGGCCTGGCCAGGAAATAAAAGCTTTTTTCTATGGAAAAAAATCTGTCTGTAGTAAAATTTTCATTCAGCATTTCCCATCACTTCTTGACTATTCTTCATCTTTTGCCAGCCTGGAGTCCCGGTGCAAAGTCTGAGAAGCCTTCCTCGCTTTTTCAGCCACCGCGTCTCCTAATTAAAAAAAAAAAAAAGAAAAAATAAAAAAGAGTAAATGCAGAAGTGACAGCGTTATTTTTGAAGACAGCTTTTCCTTCACTATGTTGCAGGACAGACACCAAAAGCAACACAGATTCACTATTTCAAAACAGTCTGAAATGTGCTCAGATCAAAAAGAAATCAATGTCTCCATGAGCATGATTTCAGATTTGAAATATTTTATTTCAAAAGGAGGAAAAGAATCCCAATTAAAACATGTTATAAATTGTAATTAATTTAATGGTTTAAAAATGTATAAAGATTTAAGGAGACATTATCCTGGTAGCTGAATCATTCTAAGAAAAGGTCAATTCTTAATAGTTCAACAATCAGGACTGATTTTCTTTTAAGGCAAGTTTGGAAGGCAGAGCACAGTTTGTCCTTCTGAGGAGTATATTAAGGTATTGATATGCAGGTCTCAGATGCCATGATGCCTACCCCCTGCCTCTTTTTCTTTTTCTTTTTTTTTTCTCTTTTTGCAGTGTTTCATGTACTATCTTTAGGCTTTCTCAAAATCAGCTGCTTGATTTACCCATCCTTCCTGGGAATTTATGATTCATATCTTCCCTTCTTTTCCCTCCCCTCTCTTCTGCCAGACCTTTCCAACTCCCAACTGCTGTTCTATCTTCTATATTAAGCACCCCAGGCTCTGATGTACTTGACAGTGCCCTGTACTTTAAACACACACACAAAAGCACTCTGGTGATCTGAGATATCTTCTACAATGTGACACACATACAACAACCTCAGACTCCAGACCTTTCCCAACCTTAATAAATACCTTATGTTTAAATTTTTATCTTCTAAAATTTGTTTTATTCTATTATTTTTAAAAGGGATGAAAAAAAAGAACATTGACAGTTATATAATGTGCATTATTTACTTAATAGCTGTTCTGGTCTATTGGGTAAATATATAGCCAGGCAGTTTTTAAAAACACGTATTACAGACCCAAGAGACCAGAGAGACTCTGAAGCAGCTGTTCCAGTCTATTGGGTAAATATGTATTTAGGCAATTTTTCAAAATATGTTAAAACTCCTTCAGTGCCATTCTGGTCAATTGGTTAAATATGTATTTAGGCTTCTTTTATAAATGCCTTTTATGTAGCCGATAGACTGAAGGAGCTGCAACTGCTGAATATGTTTTCATAATTTTTACCTGTGGGTATCTCTGGGAGTCGTTTCCTGCATTCCAGCTCCATCCCCTGCTGCCACAGCGCTGAGGATGAGCTGGGTGCCACAGCCATCGCCACCAGGAGCAAACACAAATATCCCCACACCTGAAATGGCATTATTCCTTCTGATTGTCATCCCTGCTCGCTCACAGCAACGCTCCCCGTCTATTTTTCCTCTCTGTCAGTGGACTGACACACTTTGCATTGTGCTGTGCTGGTTAGGCTGATGGATATTTTTAAACCAGCCATATTTTTTTCAATATTCAGGGGAACAAAATGGCATTTTGAAGCCCTGCTGTCAATTCTGGGGTTGTTTATATGAGTGAAGTTTAGCACATGCTCAAATATGAGCCTGATCAGGGCTCAACCAACAGAACTTAAATTGCTTTATGATTTAAAAAAAAATAAAATATATATATATATATGCCTCCAAAATCTTTTTAGGTGTTCAAGGTGATAGGAAAATCAAATCTGATGGCTGAGCTGTAACACAAGTTTCTGAAAGTCTTAATGTAAAGTAGCTGTGACAGATGTGAACATGCTGGGGTCTGTAGAACTTCTGCTGTATTTCAGCTGAAGATTTATATTTACATCCAGTTCTTTCAGAGTGAGCTCTGGTGAGAATTTTATACAGTGAGAGAAGGAGGGGCTGGGCTTAACTCAGTGGCTCAAGGAAGCTTTTCCAGGCTTGTTTCTGTTAAACCACAGCTTTCAAGACAATTATATTTGCTCCACGGTTCCCTCTTTGCCTTCCCTCCCTTTATGGAGCAGACATCTCCATTGAACTGCTGTTGTAAATTAATCCAAATTTTATTGTTGCAAAAACAGGACCAAATAAATATCTTCTTTTATCCCCACTGCATGAACTGACAGCATAAAGTCTTTCTCAGTTTGTTCCTTAATGATAAATTATTAACTCTCCATGCAGAATCGATCATGTTCAGCCTGCAATGGTCTGCTCACCCACAGAATGTCTTCATTTTCCTGTGCTGGTCATTATTTCAGGAGGAAAATTTTCATTATTTCAGGAAGAAAATTTTCATTATTTCATGAGTGTCCTCAGCTTTCCTCAAAATTTGAGTTACTACTGGTAGTATGTGGCTGGTCTTGGCTTATGGTTAAGCTCTGGTGTTTTTATCCCACCTCTTGTTCCTTCAGGATGGATTTTCATTCTCCCTTCCCAGCAAAAATGTGTTACTCACTCATCCAGCTATCAGAGAGATTCTTCTTGAGGTTTTTCTGTTTTTCAGAAATTTTGAGATAGGTTATTACAAGTTGTTATAATTTTCAGTTATTTTTATTCTGTTTTTATGTTTTTCTTAAGCAACGTTCTTAATAATAAAGCTACTGTAAATATTTCCCTCAATTGTGTTTAGAAAGCTGGGATTGATGAGTTTGGGAGTCTTTCCCAACTTTAATGATTCTGTGATTCTCCTGTGGAAATGGAAAGGACAAGTAGGCAGAAACCACGTGGGAAAATGAAGAATACAAATATGTTCACACAGGTTCAAACACAGGTGTAAGTGCATATGGAGATGGAAAAGAAAATTTAGTGTATAATAAAAAAATATATATTTTAAACAGGCACTTGACAAACTAGAAATATTCTTTTTGAAGTCAGTGTGGACACTTTAATTCAGGAAAAGTGTAAACCTCCACAGACTGGAGTAAAATGATGTCAGCATTTTAAATAAATCAACTGGTTTACATTAATACAACTTTAATGCAAGTTTAAATCAGAGGATTTCTAAAAGAAAAACAAATGTGGAAAAATATTGATAAGAATTCTGACAGGGAATATTAATAAATGAAAATGTTGATAAGAACTCTGGATACATATGATGATTTATTGCCAAAATAAATAACTTTATTATCCAAATTATTAGACCAGCTGTAATGCCAGGATAAAAATAACAGTGATGCTATGTCACTCACATAATTTCATAAACAATGATCAAATCCCATCAGAATAAGAAACATCTTGTCTGTCAAAGATTACGAGATGCTTTCCAGATCCACCAGTATATCCAGGCCTTTCCATTAATCAGTGAAGCCACTGAGGCTTTTTTCTTTTGAAATCACTGAGCTGGATGCCCGGTGATGCACTCAACAGGAACTGCTGCTGTGTAATGGATTCAAGCCTGAAATGTGATTTTATTTCTATAATACAAGGATCCCTGATGGCTTAGGGGAGTGCTGGTGGATCCTGTGCCCACATCTGGATGTTGAGTTCATTCTGCAGGAAAGGTGAAATTCCATTTTTTTAATAATATTAAAAAATGGAATTTTCATTGTTCGTTGGGGTTGGCAGAGGCCAAATGTGGTGAGGTTTTTTTTTAATTCATCAACTTACTTTGTAAATTATTGGTGAGGTTTTCCTTTTCATAGGATGTTGCAATGAGAAATGTGGGTAAACTGCAACTGGAGCATCTGGAATAGCTTGCTGCACTTCTGCCCCTTTAACCTGTTCATGGTGTTCTTCTAGATAAGAAATGGAATTACCCAATTCTGTGGGGAAAAAAAAATCCATTACTGAGCTAAAGTACTTAAAAATTAAAAGACAAATTTAAAAAGGAAAAAAAATAGAATAAAATCTATTAATAAATATTAATTATGTTTACAATACATAAAGCATATAAAGAAGGAGGCAGAGCAAGAAGGTTTTTGTGCTTGTGTGTGGCAGCTCTCAGAAAGGGCAGGAGGATGGGTTAACCCACCATCGCCATAATTTGGTTTGGCAACTTCACTGATCATAAGAATATTCTTATTGTATCAAAATGTGTGACAGCTTTGTGATGGGCACAAATGGGGGATGAGATCAGACCCCGTTTCATTAGATTAAATGGAAATGTGATGTTTGCAACAGTCAAAAAACACTGGAGACATCTTCAAAGCTATCAGTGCCCATCTCTCCACAATCTCTGCTATGATCATTTTGTTCCCTTACCATTGATCTACTACAAAACTGAAAATTAATTTAAAGGAGGAAAGATCTTCAAATATTTATATCTGAATATTTGTGTGGGCAAAATGCAGGCTGAGCTAGGAGCCTGTTACACTTACCAGGATGAAAACTAAACCCAGAGCTCCGGCCAAAGCTCTTAAAAAGTAAAAATATGACTTTGCACTGACTGCAGTGGACATGAGGGTCAGCCCAGGTCTTGAGTTCTCCTTCCAAAGTTGTGTCCACCTATGTTCGTTTTCCCTGCTGCAGAACTTCTTGCCTCTCTCTCCAGGAAAGTTTGCACATGCAACCTTTGATTTGTGAAGGTGTCACTTGGCCAAAACAACCAGAGTCCAGATGGGAAAGAGGAAAATGATGGCTGAGGTGCAGGTGCAGGTGAATACACGGGGTGCAGAGGAGATAGAGCACGTTGGGCAGCTCGTTTGTCAGCTGAGCAGCAGCCCGGCCTTTCCTTTACTTTGTTCCATTTGATATTAAGTAAATGTGATATCGTAAAACTGATAAAAGGGGTTGATCTATTGAAACTGGCTGGACTCGAGCCACTTCTGTACTCTGTCACCACATGCAAGAGGAAAAAATGGTGCTGCAAAATACCTGAGTGTACCACTCTTGCTGTACTGGGTTTGCACTCCAAAGCACACACCAGCACATCCAAGGTCTTCCTTGCCTTTGAAATATGAGTCTTTTTTTCCTTAATCTGCTCTGGACACCACTCACACACTGACGTGGATATTCTCTATTCCCATTCAGAGTTTGCTGTGTTTCTCTGGCCTCTGCAATGCAGCAGTGGGAGCAGAGATTCCTCCTCAAGATTTCTCTGCCTGGGGAAAAGAAAAAGGTCTTTCTCAGTAATGAATAGTGTGCACACTCACCATCAGCCTCAAAAGGAGACCAGCACTGAAGAGCCCACTGGATATGGCACAGCACAGATTCACTTCAGCCAGTGGGAGAAATTCAAAAGGGGATTGAGAAAGGAAAACCCTCCTAGTGCCAAAAAGTGCTCTCCCACTCCTGCCTGTGGCACGCATGGATGGACTGAGCTCAGCACATCTGAGCACAAGGTTTCTGCCTGCGGGAGCTGGCGAGCCCCAGGCTGGGGTCACAACTCAACACCTCTCTGTCGGGGAGCAGAGACTCCATTCAGCTCTGCAGGATGCTCTCATGCACGTCCAAAAGCATAGATGTGGTTCTGGCAGAACTTTTCTCTTTCTAATTTTAGCAAAATATTTACAAGAGAGAGGTACTTCCTCACAGTACATCAGGCATTAGTCACTGATAAGAGAGAACATAAATTCTGGGCTTTAATCTTATATCGTATTATTCCGAAAACCACCTTAACATGCAATGATACCAAATAATATTGAATTTTAAAATCCCTCAACTTTTAGCATTGTTAGAGTACATATGTTTATGGGAAATGGAACATCAGACTCTTGATGTTGAGCCTAAAATTAGGTGACATTGTTTAAAGGACCTTCAGAATGCTTAATCTGATTTTTTTGTCCAGTCTAAGCACTTGAAAACCTGATGATAGGCACAGTTGTTTGATATATAAAACTTTAAGTATTTATGTCTCTAAAAGGCAAGTTTCCTTGCTTTTGAGAATTTTTCTTACTGGGAAGGCTTCCAAAACCCCTCTCATGTAGCTTCATGGAATTTTCTCAGCTCTTATGTTTGCTCCTTCTCCACACCTCTCCCCCAGTGCAGAGAGGCACATCTGTCTGTTTTCTGCCTTATCAAGCAGACATCTACATCTGCGAGGAAAACACCACTTCCTCAGCTAAAAAACCTGTATCTGATTGTGGTAATAAAGCACTACTTCCTCAGTTCAAAACATTCATCAGACAGGACCAATTACTTCAAATGACTCATAGCAACAGGCAAAGCAACGCTCGTCTTGGCGGAGCCTTTGAACTTGCACCGCTTCAAAGGTGTGCTAAGACGTGGTTATGAGGCGATTGTCTAAAATTGCCAAATTACCAGGTCCCAAGCTTTGACATTTGTTATTCTGAGCGATGAGACAAAGCAAAAGCAGTTCGTTCAGCCCCCTGAGAAATACAAAGTGAAACAAAAAGATATTTCCTAGGTGAAGAGAGCTCTTATCGCGGTGAATTCTCGATCGCGAAACAGAAAAACGCTCGGGCCCTACATTAATCAAATTAAATAATTAGGTGATCAAACAATACACAACAATAATGCAAAATGCAAACAATATGAGACAAAGCTACTGAGGGAATTTAATGGGCTTTTAATCACATCCTGGAGGTCACAGTGGCTCAAAGTGTTATTAATGGGAATCAAAGCTTTTCACCTTTAGGTCACCAACCTGAATGTGGCACAGGCTGCTTCTGACTGAGCATCATTTCCATCTGGTAATTACTGGGGGGCTTGTGGTCTCAGCATCCCTACTGGAGAGGAATTTGCAGAATTCAGCATGAGAATGTGCATCAGCTGCAATGGGTCAAAGGGTGTCCAGCAGAAGACAGATGACCCAGGAGAAAACACAAGATTATGCAACTCAAAACTCTTCTTTCAGTAAATATTTCAGTACTTTCTACTACCTCCAAGTATCATTAAATAAAGTTCTGAAGTTATTGCCTAAAATTGCCGAATTAATTATTTCTAATAAATTTGTTTCCACTTTCCCTATACTTTCCCTATGTCCTTGATGGTCATGTCTCTCTCCTGACAGCATCATGTCCAATGAGATGTAACAGTCTAATTGGTTAATAGTTAATTTTGGGTGGGCTGATCCAGTCTCTCTAGCTGTCATTATAATTTAATTAACTTTGAAAAGCTAAGTTAAAGAAGAACCCTATACTGAGCATCATAAAGTATATTATTGTTACCTACTGACTCAAAGTTATTTGGGTATTTTTAATACAATGGTTATTTTATCAGGAATATTCCAATATTAGGACCATGTTTAAATAAGTAAAACTCTAATTCAGGAATGTATTTCTATTTGCTGCATTTTCATATCGAGATATTCAGTTTTAGTTTTGCCATTTTGATGAGTTTTTACCTGTTTTCTTAACAATGAAGGTGATCAAGCACATATTTGGAGGGCACACTAGAAGTGACAAGGATTATTGGGTTTTGCTACCAAGAAAGCTTACTGTCAAAATTCAGTGATGGGACTGGCCAGAAAAACACAAAACAATCCCATTCCCTATTTGGTGTAGCTGTTCAACCATTTTTTCTTGCAAATATCTATATGTAAACAAGAAAATTAAGGTTCCATTAATATTTGGGAATAAGACTGCTGTTTCGCTACAAGTTTTGCCAGAAATATGTTAATGCAACTGCTCAAATAGAGAAATGCAACAACAGAGAGGCAGAGAAAATACATTGCAAAATCCCAGTTGTCTCAGTGGAGGTCTTTTCAGGGCTAGAAGTCACTTCTGGCTTTGGTAGGAAGCCTACAGGCACTTCTTTTTATGAGTAAGTTACATCTGTTCAGGCACTGCACTTTCCTAACACCATACTTTTGTTTTTTAGACTGAGGAGCCTTCAAGTCTAGCAGCTCAGATGCTTGCATCCGTCTGTACCCTTTTGGGTAAATACCTGTCACTTTCGGCAGCCTTCTCTGGCTCTCTGCTCCTCGCTGAGGCTCAGACTGTCCCACTGACACGCTGCTGGCTGTCCCCTGGCACCCAGGACAGTGCCACCAGCCCAAAACCTTCCACGTCGCTCCAGGTAAGGGAGCACAGTCCATCCCTGACAGTCTCTGTCTTTTCTTATTTATTAAACTCAAATAAACACTCCGAGAGTGATGGAGCAAAGAAACGTGGATTGTCTGGTGGGTCCCCCGCTGGTTTCTGTGGCTGTGTCTTTGCTGGGTGGATTTGGAGTTGTCTGTCTGCAGAGCCACACCTGGCTTTGGAACCCTCTCTGATGAATGTCACACCACAACGCACTTATTTTTCATGTTTGTCGCAATTCTTCCTGTTGAACACAAATCCCTTCACTCCATTTTAAAGGAGTCAAAGAACAAGTAATTCTGCGCAAAACTAGAGTGTCAGATTAGCCCTGTGTCAACAAAAATGCACTGATCTCTCCAGAAATATGTACATTAAAAAGCAGTTATTCCTAAGAAAGCATTGGTCACTCATCTGGAAGGACCAAGAAAACTTAGTCAAGGTCTGTGTCAGAGGTTTTAAACTGTTACTGCAACCTAGATTAAGATCAACTCATTCTTCCTGTGCATCATTCTCTTTGTTATGGGTCAACCTGTATTCTTCCATTCTCCCAGAGCACCACACATCCATATCCATAGAGACTTTATTGGTGACACTCTCAGTACTCCAAAAAAAAAAAGTTTTAAATCCACTTTCCTTTAAGAATCAACTAACATTATCATTATTCTTAAATATTGGTTGTATCTCAGTTAAAGGGTCACCGGAGTGGGAAAAACAACAAGCTCATAAATAGCCCATAAACCCCCTTTCATCTCAGGACGGTGAATGAGGAGAAGCAGAGCACAAACAGCTTTGGAGGAGTTGAGTGTGTTCTCCCTGCTCTGGTACAACTCTGAGCGATGTTCCTTGTCATGCACCCAGCAGCTGAATTTACGAGCACGTCAGCGCCTGCATCTCAGCTGAGGATGCCCAGATGGGGAAACCCTCTCACCAGCACCATGAAATACCCATCTGCTGCCTATTAGTATTCCCCAGGGAATTATTGTTTCCTGCTGCCTGGCTCCTACGGTCGGTGTTGGGAATCTGGGATGGAGGAGCACAAACCAGAGTGGCTCTGGAGTGAGGAGGAGATTGAGCCACTGTGGGACAGTGTCAGTTTAAAGGATGTTTTTTTGAAAGCTCTAAGATGGTCCAGTCTCAGCAGAAAGAATATTGAAAAGCAAAATATCCCCTAAGCATCCATTTGATCAAATAACATGTTTATGGCGCTATTATTATATCAAGAGAAACAGTTAACTGAGACATGACATGTAACTGTTAAAAATTACACACCACCAAACATCAGTCAGGGACACTGAAAGGAAGAGTTGACGCTCATAAATAAAAAATGATGTAGAAAAAATAAACAAACAACCCATGGAGACTCTTTCAGGTTTTCTCTTTCCCCCCTTTCTTATGCAAAACCACACAATAAATGGTCTTTGAGTCGCAGAGGTTTAATCTATGTGCAGAAAGGGAATTAGAGGCTGATTCAGGGTTTTTTTTTTTCCCTTTTCCTTTCCTGGAGGCCTCTTTTTTATTTTCTTTCCAGGTATTGATCGTGAAAGTGATATCACACCAGAAGGTGCATTGATATGGTGTTGAGTAACAGAAAACTGCAAAGACTCCTTACAGTATAATCAAAGCTTCTGTCCAAGGCCCCCACTCTGATGAAATCCAATCAATAGGGACGATTAAATGACACATACAGAGCCATCAATATTAAATACAATCCATTTCCTGTACAAGAGCAGGGCAATGTAAAGTGGACAAGATAAAACTTGAATAGGCAGGTTATTTACGATGCTTGTACAGTATTTAAGCAGTGATGAAAGTTGGGAGCACACATGATTTGCATATTAATCAAAAAAGCAAGTAAGTTTCTGATGCACATAAAATAGAGTTTGGTGGGTTTTCAATGTTTCCAAACAATATTTTTTTAAAGTTATTTTTGGAGGGACTAAGTCAGAAAGGAGTCAGCTCCAAACTGAAACATTGTAGATTCTGCAATCTCTGATTTTAATGAGCCATTGGGTTCTTATAGTGTTTTGTCAGTATTCCACACCATTTGCCTGCTGTCTGTGCAGTGGAAGAAAGGGTTTCAGATAATTCACTGCAACTTTAGTCTGAATTTTACCTCCAGAGGTGAAAAAGAGACCACCAAGAAGTGTCACAATTTCTCACCATGAGCAAAAAGGCAACATTGGAAGACACCTTAAGTACCATCTTGTTCCACCTCCTGCCATGGGCAGGGACACCTTCTGCTGGACCAGGTGGCTCCAAACCCCATCCAACCTGGCCTTGGATGCTTCCAGGAATGGGGCAACCATGGATTTTCAGATCTCCCAGTGGCTATTAGGGTTGCCAGAGGGCCCATCAAAGGAAGGTTTTCCTGTGTGGAATTCCCTCAGTACTCTCAGAGACATTCTGTAGTCCCTGGGCTAGGGAGAGTCCACCAGCTGAGATAAATGGTTTTTGGTAAACTCCCTGCTCTTCTCTGCTGTGCCAGTCAAAATGCTTCCACCAGTTTTTAAGGAGTCCATGTGCTGCACACACTGAAAACCACCGCTAATAAATCTGGTTTCCTTCTCACACATTTCTTCACACTACACATCCACAACGGGCAGGTAGGAAAATGGCAAAATTAGGAATCTACTCTCAAAAGCAACAGAATGATAAAAATACAGAAATAGATTTAAAATCTGGATCTCCAGCAAATCAGGACCTGAATCAGAGTGTCTTTTGTTCTAGAAAAGTAAGAGCAAGGATGAATTCATTCACCTCAAAGAGAAAGAGACAAAAGGAGCAGCAGATTGGTAGAAAGATATCACTATGCTACCCCTGAGCACACTGTTCTTTGCTTTTCACACATGAATCCTCATCATATTGATTGGTAAATACAAATTATTTTCTCCCTTTTTTAATGTCAATTCATTCTTTTTCAACATTAAACTCTCACAGTGTCTTTGAAGTGAACAGATAAAATTCCTTATCACCAAAACTTGCACTGGTTTTAGTGGAAACCTAGAAGGACCGTTGACAAGTTTAAAGTTAATAATGTATTTTTGTCCTTTGTTATACTGGGCCATAACTGGGTTTGGTATCTTCAGGATGAAAACCCTTCATCTTAACACAATTTTCAAGGATTTTTTTAAAAAAACTCCTCAATAAAAGTTTTATAGAGAAAGTGAGCCTGAAAAATGTTCTTGGAGATGACACTACTCTCTGCCAGGACACTTTCACAAATACTGTGGGGACAGCAGGTTGTTTGCCAATGAAGAGCTACTTTCTCTTGACAAAATTGAAAATTGATGACAAAGTGATTGGGTATTTCTCAAAATGCTGTCAAATGTAATGACATTGGGTGGGTTCCAATTAGTTTTGTAGGCTTTCGAGATGCAGCTCTCTCTCCTTGCCTTCTGTGTAAAAAACTTTGTGGCGTGAGTCTGGTCTGCTGAAGGACAGCTAGAGCTGCTACAGCTCCCAGAATTTGCTAGGGAATGAGGCTGCACTGACACATCTAGTCTGGACTAAATAACCAACTTTCACTTTGCAAAACTCGAGCTTTCTTGTCCGGTTTGACGCGGTGTTATTCGCGCACAACGAGGGTACGTGGGTCACGTTGCCACTAAGAGAGTAGGGGGAGTTAGCTGATAAAATAACTAATTATGTTTGTTAATTAACCACATTCCTATAAAATCAGAGGTGCCACGAGGTGCTTAAGATGTGGTGAGCACAGGAGAGAGGGAGCAGAGGGGAGAGGGAAGCCAAAATCTCCATCAACGTCAACGCGTGTCCCCTTTAGGCTGAGGGAGCTGGAATCCAGGATCTCCCTCTCTCCCTCCTATCTGGAGCACAAATAACATAAAGCTGGGGTAGGATTGATACGGAAAGCTACATAAAATGTTTGCTTATAATTATTTCTAGCACCCTTTTGAAGCTTAGGGATAAAACATTTCTAATTATTCATCAGGCCGTTGGAACTCCTAGGCCTCTGTAATAGGGATTTAGCAGAACAACAAATAACATACAGGGATCCAGATGAAAGGAGTGAATTTGAAGGGATTATTAACATAAAAAAAGCAAATGACTATTTGATGGAGTTACAACAATACAGAGAGTCAGACAGGGATAGAGAAATAATGCTAATTGATAAATACATAGCTGCTTAAGCTTTAATTTAAGCTGTGGAAGAGTTGTAAAACAAGTGATACCTGTAATTTCCTTCTTAAAAAAGATCCCTCTGTTTGAAATGCATACATAAGGAAAACCCCTCAAATGCAGCTTTTCTTCCCCCCTCCTCCCATTTTCACCGTATTACAGTCACAAGAAGTAATTCTTTTAAAAGCAGGACCATGAAATTTTTTTGTGGTCTTGGCTGGCTTACAGCTGGATAAAGATTTGCTCCCCAGTTTAGGATGGGAGCCACGACATCTTCTGCAGGATCCTGTGATATCTGCCCATGTAGGAGCCCCATGGGCCACAGGCAGAAACAGGCATTCAAGGAATGGAGAGGGGATTTTGTGTTCACTAACATATACCACAAAATCACTGCTTCATCTTAATCAAAGCATTGCAAAGTAAAAGGCAAATCATAAAGAAATGATGACAAAACCCCACGAAAAACCCCCAAAGTCAGCAAAAGCAGGGTTTTTGAACCATCTAAGGTGCAGCCATTCCTATTCTCTCTCATTTTTTCAATAGAACAGACAACCTTTAGGCAATTTGTCTTAAATAAAGATATATAAAATGGATAAGTGGAACATAAAATACAAAAAAGGATAAATATTCCATATTCAGTGCTGTTATAAGCAACATCATCACCACCACCACACCAGTGATTCCACACAAAGATAGTTTTTTTGAGTCTACATAAGCTGTCTTGCCTAAAGGAGGGAAGGAAACAAATCTGACTTTGCAAATACATGCAGGAAAAAAAAAAAATCAAAAAATCATGGATAGGAGACTTACCAGCTACTCTGCAAGCTGTGTGCTTCTTTATATCACAAATACTGGTTTAAAGGGCAAAGGTATGCAAAGCAGATGGATTGTGCCTATCTCTAAATCAGAATTTCAATGTAAGACGTTTTCCAACAGCTCAATAGAGTGGCTTAGAAGCTTTCTTCCCCTCCTTAATGAGGGGGTAAAACGTTAGCATTATAAATTGCAGCTTAGAGAAATTATATTCAGATTTTTTATTTTTCTTTAAAAAAAAAAAAAGAGAAAACCCGTATGCTCTAGATTAGCAGGGGTGGATCGTCTTGTTGAGACTTGTGCTGCCAAAGCCTATTAAAGTAATTCACATTTTATACACAGACATTACCATTTTCTCTGAACTATAACGTCCTTGGAGCATTACTCCGCAGAGACATCCAAAATCCACTTTAGATGGGGCACAAAGGCACAGTTTGAGATTTACCTGTGTGACTTGTCTCGCAGGTGACAAGCATTAAGGAAGGAAATCTACACTTCTGTCAGATAAGCAGGAATTCCTGGTTCCTTAATTCACTTGAAAAGAAAGGATAATTACCTGAAGTAAATTTCTGCGCCCATCTCAAATGGACTCTAGGGACAATCCTGCAGATTAATGCTCTAAGAACATAAGATTCAGAAAGAGAACGTAGGGATGTATGAAATAGGATCTCTTTTAACAACCTGGATCAAAAACTGTATCCTGAACTGAGGGGAGGAAGAGGCAAATCCAGTGCAGCATTAATGCCTTCTGCTGCCTCAGCAGAATCAGATTTTGACAATAACAATCACGATGATTTTTATAGGCTCACTTTTTTTCCTCTGCATTCTGATAGATCTGAGAGATTTCCACAACCTGAATGCTCGAGGCAAGATCCTCAGGTGGTGTAAATTGGCATTGTTTCTCTGAAATACCATCCCTTCACATCCTCTACAGCTTTTCTGCTCATCAGCAGTATCATAATCATCTGGTAACATTAATTAATTTTCCCCGTGTTTTATGCAATGCTGCCTCTGCCTCCTCCCCGCCTCAAATTGTTTTGATTTTGTTCCTTTTTTTTTTTATTTATTTATTTTATTGCTGTTATTGCTCCACGCCTGCTAAGTAAATCTGCGGCGTGTTACTTTAAAAATGAAATAAAGCTTGTGTTCATAGTGACAGTCAATAACACTACAGCATTATAATCAATTGCTATTTGTAGCAGCAGGACTAGCAGTGGGGGCAGATCAGTGCAAATTACTGTCACTGTGTGCTGTCGTGTGCTGCAGCCAGCCTGGATCACGGGAGAAAAACGATCCCAGATCCAGTGGGAGCACAGGGAGCTCAGCCCTACCTGCACAGCATCACAGCCACGCACAAACACGAGGGGAAAGTGGCCGTGAACCGGCAGGATGGAGAGGGAGGGGAAATAAATTAAATAAATTAAATTAACCCAGTTGTGCTGCTGAGATCCTGAGCTAAACGCTCCTGCTCTGCTGATGGGCTGGAGAATGGAGGATTACAAGTGCCCAGGGAGGTACAAAAAAGGTTGGAAAGCTCTTTAGTGAGCACCAGTGACGACTGTGTTGTAGTTTAAACTGAGGGTTTGTGCAGACTCCTGTAAACCATGGGGGTCTTCAGTTCCAAACACCTGTTAGGATCAATAATAATGCCAAAAATTATATATAATGGTTCCCCCCCCTGCCCCCCATTCTTTCTGTAGAAGCAGGAGTGTTTGTTACTGCTAGAGATCACAGTGATGCAATTTTTTGTCTGTGTTTCATCTGAAGAAAAAGATCCAGGCTCTGATCTCAGTGTGGGGAGAGAGCTGTTATCTCAGAGCTGGGCTCTGGGAGCAGCAGGTCAAACAGGTAATTTTAAAGATGGAGATGCCCAATTCTTTGTGTCTCTTCAGCTTTCTCCTCCATGAATTTGGCAATTTATTTGGAACCCCTGCCATTAGGGAGAAACGCAAATGGTGTTTAGTGGGGAGAGAAGAAACATGATGCAGATCAAGGTCACATCCTTGGGGAAAGAAAGCCTTGGCTAGCAAGCAGTGTATGGTTATGAAATGACATCTGATTACCTGGCTGAAGGGTGTCTTTCTCATCTGGGAGGCTGCACTGCAAAACCCAGCCCCTGTTTTGCTTTCCAAAAGGAAGGGGAAAGGAAAACCCAACTTCCAGGACCCCCCAACTCCTCACAAACCCTCCTGGAGAGGTGATGCAGCAGCAAAGCCAATGCAAACACTGAGCTCACTTCTGGGACTGCTGCAAAGGATGACAATTTATTGCCCTTTTTAATGATAGAGTTTGTGATATGCACACTTGCCAACTGGGAACTGGAGTGAGATCAATGAGTTATTTTACATAGGTCCCTGTATTCTGGGCCAGAATGAAACTGTTGACCTAGAGGTGAAAGTCTCTAATTTTATTTCGAGTCCCTCTGAGTCATGTAGTCACCAGAAATAACACTGACAGCAATAAAACCAAGCAAACAAACAAAACTGAGCAAACATCAAATATGAAGGGAAAAGGGCTTTGCCAAAGAGGCTCAGCACACGTTTTGTGAGACGGCGTAATCTTTGACAGGGAAATCTGCACCATAAAAACCCCTCTCTCCTGGAGCCCAGTATCCTCCTCTGAAGACAAATGTTTTATAATAAATATTTCTGTGCCTGTGGAGCTTTGTGCGAAGTCGGACATGATATTTTTGGCAATATCTGTGTGTCAGGGGGAATCTGAGAAAGTGTCACATACTGCACTCGGGCTGGCTGGTTGGTGAGAGCCATGGGTTTGGATCTGCATGTCACACATGTGATGGGCTGAGCAGAGCAGAGGAACAGGAACAGTTCTTCTCTTCAGCCTTTTTATCCATTTTAATCCATGACCTGAATCACAGAATTCACGTAAAGTTGTGGTATCTGATTGACCTCCCTACTGCCAACTCCCTCCACCTTCCAAAATCACAGAGCTGATGCCCTTGAGTATTTTTAGGTCCAACATTTTTCCTGTTTAGCAAAATCAGAATTGCTCCTTCTTATTATTACTATTAATATTATAAATAATCATCATCATCATCATCATCATGGATTTTTCACTATGCCTTTAGAAGGTAGTTTCCAAAGGAAATTTCTATGTCTATTCCTGGCTAACAGGCATGATGGTTTGGGAAAAATAATCTTCCACTCAAAGGCAGTTTAACTTCCAATAAGGACTTTTTTGGCTCGCAGATTGTTAAGGAAAATTGCTTCGTTTTGCAACTGTAGTTCCCATATTTAAATGAATGGGATTTTCCTTAAGAGAGATTTGAACTATGGAATTTTCCTTTGTTGGACAAGAATCAATGGAGTGTTTGCTGCTAATTAAACCAAATAAGTTAGCTGAAAAGGAAAATGAGTTGATTTTGAAGGAACTTCATAGTACAATTGCAGTTTTGAGTAGAAGAGAATTTAATCTCATTTAATTTTTTTCCTTAAATGTCAGGGTTTGTGCTTCTCTATTATTTTGAAGACTATCAGGGATCCCTCCCTGTTGACGTAAGTCACTCAATTTATGTGATCTGGGTCTGAATCTATTACCAGTGAAGGCAACAGGGTTTGGATTAAACCTTTACAGTCTGTGTTTTTTAAGGTCTCAGACAGCAAAGATTCAGCTCTCAAACACCCTGAGATCAATCACTAAATTCAGAAAACTGGAACACATGCACCGAAATCACCACATTCTGTAGTGACAAAATATTTTGCAGAAACAGGGCTGTGATGCTGTTAGTGGCTTGGTTTGACCTGATTTTCCTCTACACAAACAGAAAATGTCAATGGGAGACGCCGACAGCAGATTTTCGTGGCTTTGGAATTTGATATTACTATGGATTTTAAAACATAAGGGGAAAATACATAACAGCAATGCCTTATTTTTAACCTGCTCACCAATTAAATGATTGTAATATTGAAATATTCCAGATCACTGCGGAGCTAAAGTACTGAATTCCTAATGTTTCTATACATTTTATACCTCTAAACTCACATAAATTTATAAAAAACAATTGCTGTGGTGGAATATTCTCACTGTTGTGGAAATACTTTTGAGAAAGACTTTTGGGTTAACTTTTTTGATTTTCTGGTGTTTAGGGAGTTTTGTTGAGTGACTGGAGCTGCAAAGTTAATAAAAATCTATATATACTTTTCTGCAGTGGGTAGTGTCTTTTTTAAAAATCTATTTCACTGGGATAAACAGCACAATAGTGTCCTTAACATTATAAAAAAAAATAAACTGTGTATTTTAATTAGCTTGAAAGAGTCAAATGGCAGAAAAAAAAAATCACCTGTGATACGAAAAGTCTGGCTATTATAATGATACAGAGTGTAATTCAATATATCTGTTTAGATATTGACCTTCTGCATTATTAATGGCTTTGAAAAGGCTACTGCTGTCTTGCAACTCTTGAACAGGTGGAAGCCACTGGAAACTCACCATTTATTGGATTCCCTATGCCAGATTACTTTCCAGCTAAAAGCCAACGCAGATATGTTTGCAAAATGAATTTAAGAGGGAATCCTGATTTTTGTGGTTTGTTTGTTTTGATATTTTTGTCTAAAGCTTCTTCTCTACTTCCCCCCTCTCCAAAAGAACTCCTATTGTGAAAGAAGGTTTAAATTTCCATTAAAAGTAGCTTTTTTATTTATTGTAAAAGCAGTTCATTTGGAAATCCCTGTCTATGCTTCTGAGTAGCCTTCAGCTTCAGAAAAATCTTCATTTATCTGAGATATCTTGTGGCACAAAGTTCCTAATAAATCTTCTGATAAGCAGCTGAGTCCCTGATTACAGAGCAGCAATCACAAGAGAAATATTCTCTTTTCTGTATTCACTTTTCAACAATATTTTTTGTGTTAATACCATGCCCACAGGTGATCCCAAAACAGAGGCCTCCCACACTAAAGGCACCAGAAATACTATAAATGCAAATTCTAACATTAGTTTTATTCCCTTTGTTCCTTTTTTTTTTTTTTTTTTTTCTTCCAACAACAACTAAATTCTGTTCTGTCACTGCAAGAATAAATATTCCGACACCTGGTTGGATAACAACTGCAGTATTTATCTATTTTTATTTTCAGAATGCTGTTTTGACTAATTTATATATTTTTAAAAATGATTCATTTACATATTTTTA